AGTCTTTTCAGAGTAATAGGCATAAAAGAGCCTGTTAAAACTAAACATAAGAAAGATCCTTCAATTTTTATTTCTCTGATTTCAAGTTGTTACCACATTTATGTGTATATATATATATATAAAACTTTAAATCATAACAGTATCGTGAATCATAAGGTATGATAGGGCGCTTACTGAGCATCTTAATAATTAATAAAGCATTAGTTGATAAGAGAATCACTTATTACCAATTAACATGGGGTACTTAGTCGTCACCACAATTATCGGTCAGTAAGCGGTCCACGATACCTAGTAATTTGCACTTGTGTTATGAACTAATGCTTGATTCATTCAATCATTGGCCAATGAGCACCCTACGATATCTAGTGATTGACGATAATGTTATGAAATAATGCTTTAGTGATTGATCTATAAAAATTTCCCTACTCAAATTTCTCAGGTGAGATCTCAAGTGACTTCTTATCTCAAAATCTTACCTGAGAAATAAAAATTCATGCTTCGATTTTTTTACGTTATCAACATACTTAATTAATTTTCGACAACTTTTGAAAAATTTGGACTTAACATTTTTTTCTTCAATTTCAAACTTTAATTTTTTACAGAAATTTTCAGTTACTAATTAAAATTTCAACATTAAGTGAATAACAGTACACGGGCGCTGATGACTGTACTGCAATTTAAACTTCTGCCACAAAGTAAATTTTTTCGGGCCTTTGGCTGTTTTTTCTCGTAAACTGGATGTTCATTATTTCTTGAAAGTTTTAAGACGTGTAAATTTTATTCATATAATTATTTACAGTTATTTTAGTATTATAAAATTATGGAATAGCCTTGCTCACAAGAAGTATCAAGGTAACATTATTTATTTTGGTGAATCCGAAAAAAAATGTTGACATTTGTACATTTTTAAACGGAACACAAATAAAAGAAATAAAAACAAATTGATAAATTGAATTAAAAAAAAAAAAAATCTACCAAGATGAGGGTTTTAACCCTTAAGTGCATATCGATCCACAAGGTGGTATAACCCTTATCCGTCTCGGCCATTCGAAGGACTAGTGAATTCTCTTTCGAAGTCACATATACTTATGGATATCCTCCAGAGCTTGTCCTACAGTTCACATCAGTTAGGATGTGTAAAATTAATAAATTAGTGGTTCAGGCTATACTGAAAACATTAAGGAATAGTTGTAGCTGTATATTTTTTCAAAAGTCTGTGCATATAATTAATGAGCTTTTAGTTCCACGGTTTAATTGAATCAGATTGATAAATAACATTGAAGTATGAGCGAGAGAGCAAGAGTCAGGTAAATATACATACATAGCATATACTCGGTTGCAGTCAAAAGAGAAAAACTCGTGTCGTCGCTTGCTTTGGCTGTGCGCTCAGCTATATAGCTATAGTCGACATTTTTGCTCCTCTCCTCGGAGGCAATCATTCGGTATACCCCTTCCACATGTTTCCAAAATGTGCGCCTGTATGCTCATTTACACGCGAATCCACTATTCTTCTCGTAGGCACACGCTGTTCGATACGAGTCTCGCACTCTCAAAAAATATGCGCCTTGGTTCGACGGCTGGCCACGGCAAGTCATCCCGATCAGTGACAAAAGGACAGCTCACCTCGTAGCGTTGGCGTTAGCAATCTCTACTTATCTCTGCTATAGTCGCTTTATTAAAGATGTTTCAAAAATAGCTAAGCCATTCTCAGATTTATTTTAAAAGGGAGAAAAATTTGAATAGACTGAAGTGCAAGAAAAGAGCTTTCAAATACTAAAAGATCATCAATGTCAAAAGCCTATTTTACAATTTCCCAAATTTAGTAAATCATTCAAGTTAATAAAAGATTTATCTGACTCCACTATTGAAGCGGTATTAAGTCAAGAAAAAGATGCGTTTGACTATCCTGTCACCTATCTTTCAAGCACTCTAAATTAAGTCGAAATAAATTATTCTACGACTGAAAAGAAATGCTTAGCTGCACTATGCGTAATGCATTATTTTCGTTTGTATTTATTTGGAAATTGTTTGTATTTATTAGATGCATACAAGAAAAGATCCAGGTTGGCGTTTAATGCGCTGCATGTTTAAATTCACTGATTATGAAAACACTTTTAAATACAAACTAGGAAAACTCAATACCAGTGCTAATGCATAACCTAAAATTTAAGCAGGACCATTTCTGTATTCAGGAAGCAATATGAATAACCAAATACTATTATAAAGAGTAATGATAATGGGTCGAATAGAAACAGGGAAAAAAAAGGAAAACAGATTTACAAAGTCAAAGAAAAGAAATAGTAAGAACAGTCGATTCAATGACTATTAAATCAAAGCACTGCTAACAATCTTGAAGGAGACGGTAAAAGTAACAAAACCTAGGAGCATGATCAAATCAGGAACAGATGTACAAAAATTGGCAATGGGGCCCTGGGCGACCACTTGGTTTAAAAACAAACAAGGAATGGCCAAAATTAGATCATAGTGTTATTGCTCACAGAACTCGAACAAAAACATTTCCACAGCCACAGACATCATCTGCATCTCAAACGAGTATATTAAGAAATGTCACTCAACTAGATGAAAGAATTGTAGCTTATTTAAAGGGAATTTGTAAGCCCTGGTTAACTAATTGTTATTTAAAATAACACTTCTACATTATATATTATATAGCCAAACAGACGCACCGTAGCAGAGGACACACGGCGGACGTGCTGCTGCCGCGCATGGCCCAGCCGCCGCGGCTCGCATCGTCTCGTTCGTCGTTTAAATACGTTAAAAAAACGAAAAACCCCTCTTTTTTTATTGTCGATAGCTACGTAAAAATGTCTCATCTTTCGATCTAGACTATCAAAAAAATTCCAAAAGTTGAAGATCATGGAGATAAAACGTGTTTTTCAAAAAAGTGCATTTTTCGAGGTTATGGGAGAAAATTTTTAAAAAACTGATGCCACCACTGGAAAGCTGAGGAAAAAATACATAAGAATATGTTTTTAGATAATTTTTTTATCAAAGTTTTGACACCGAAACGACGAGTTGAAAACGCGTGTTTGACGCCCGCGCGGGCCGTCCACCGCGGCGCTGGGACAGTTGACGTGATTCTCTCCATATATATATATATATAACGTACAAATTAAAGAAGCGCTGTAAAGATACTTATATTACAAAATAGAAGTATAGAAAATTTTAAAACAGGCTAGAAAAATTCAAAAGGTATCTTAGGGCAAGAGACAAATCACCCGTTCTTCATCATATCCAAGAGATTTGCAAGCCATAAAATTTGCTGCACTGTTCAACAGTTCAAGTACAGCACAATGTCAAAAAGCTCCGATAAAGCGCTTTTTAAGCTACTGTGCATGCGCAGCGCGCCACCAACTGTCACTGCTTAAGTGCCATGGTTTGCGTTCTATTGTTCACTAACTTAATTAGTCGTTGTATTTAAGAGGATTGACCAAATAAATAGAGAAAAAATTTTGCATGGTACAATGAACGTTTGGCAAAAAGATCGTGCAGGTCAAAAGTCGAAAATCAAATTTAAGGGGCCAGAATGCATAAAAACTACAAGTATCGTATCTTGTTTAAGTATCTTGGCTTCTATCATTGGTCGTAGAACAACTTTCTGTTTTTAATTCATGTAAAAATAAGCGTTATTGCCTACACGAAGTTGTTTTGTCTAAGTTGCTTATAAAATTGTCAATAAAATATTAAATTTTCATTTAATTTTGAATATTGCAACAAATATTTCATGCATTCTTATTTTTTGCGTTCTTGGCTTTTTCGCTTGTTTAAACAATAAAAAAATTTTTTATTTTTTTGTCAACAACATATCCTTGTGTAAAATTATCAAATAAATGATTTTTGTATCAAAAATTTTGCTCTAAAACCAATATTTACTGAGATATTTAATAAAAACTGGAAAAGCCGATTTTCAAGTTATTTTGCATTAAAAAAAAAATTAATAACACGTATCCCTGGCCTATTGTACAATTTAAGTTGTTATTCTACGTAGTTTTCTTCCAATTTCAAGCTAAATATCGTAGTGTTATGAAGGACCACCACCCTCTAATGCCCTAGCGCTTTAACTAATTATCACGTTGAATGATAACAGTTGAGGTACGAATCATGAGTTTATGAACAGATCTCTTTTATGAATCATCGCACTTACCTATTATAATTATCCTATTAAATAATTAAGTTATATATTTACATATTTATTGACGAGATTGAACCCACGACCATTCGATTCTCAGCTATATAGCTATAGTCGACATTTTTGCTCCTCTCCTCGGAGGCAATCATTCGGTATACCCCTTCCACATGTTTCCAAAATGTGCGCCTGTANTATCACGTTGAATGATAACAGTTGAGGTACGAATCATGAGTTTATGAACAGATCTCTTTTATGAATCATCGCACTTACCTATTATAATTATCCTATTAAATAATTAAGTTATATATTTACATATTTATTGACGAGATTGAACCCACGACCATTCGATTTTTTCCACTAGTAGGCAAGCGTGCTGACTCTTCAGCCATCGAAGCTCTTGAAATACATCTGATGGCAGACATTTTGACTTTTTTTTTAAAGTTAAGAGAATTAGAAATGAATAGGGAAGTCAATTTATACATAAAAAAAAAGTTTTAATAGCTAGGAAAAAGATGTGTACACTGTAGAGAGAAGGAATTTTATCAACCTTGACGGTCACAATTCATAAACGACAAAAATAGTTAAATGCAAGTTAAGATATAAGGGAAATAAAATGAAGAATGTGAATACATAACAGCAACATTGTAAAAGAAACGCACAATATTATTTAGAAGTTAAAAATTTTAAATGCAGCTTACGATGCACAAGTAATACCAACAAAAGCTTTACTCAGTAAAATCACCTAATATATAACACATTGATTAACAAATACAAAAAATTATCAATACTATTGTAGAATAACAACGTTTGCTAAGTTTTTTATAACAGATAGAAAATCATAAGTACTTACGAGATTCGTCTGTGCTGCTTGCTTCAAAAAGTTTTCGGCTGCTTCTAATTCATTTTTATCTGAAAAAATTATTACATTGAAGTTATAGAAATAAAAAATAATAGAGATTTGTTAAATTATTTTTAAGTCTGACTTTTACACTTCATCAATTTAATTTCAATGTAGTATAATTTAATGTTTTAATGAGGAGCTTGAAATTAATATTTATACGTGCGCCGACTTTATACCAACGTGATTTCAATTATTATAATAGAACTACAACTTCGTTTGCAATCAAGAAATACTGAGGTCATAGATATAATTTTCAACAAAATTGCTTCCAATAAGTTACCAATATAGACTCAAGAATCCTCTAGAAGTTAAATAAGACTTTGGAAGTACGCGATGGACCTCAAACAATAAAATTTATGTACAAAATTCTTCTTATAAGAAATCTCAATCATTGTTAAAACGACATGTTGGCAGTTTTTGAAATAATCTAGATAAAGTTATCTGACACCTTCTGCGAATGCATACACAATGATGAGCAAGTGTAATCTTCGTTTTTAGAAATATTTTCTGCTTTTTAAAGTAATTACAGCACGTTTGATTAAAGATAAAGCTGAGATGATAACTTTTAAAGAAATTAACCTTTGATTATTACAGCGCCTTATCACTAAGCAACCTTGTTAACGTTAATACATGTGCATATTACTCGTATGCATGGGAATCAGTTCGTTTATTTATTATAAATTATACCTGCATTGTTATCAATTGAGTTTTTGTTCTTTTAACTATTATTTGATGTAAAAGTTGTTTCCAACTGAATTATTGAGCTTAGGGAGCTTGGGTCAATTGAGTTCGATTTTAAAGCGAATTCGCTTTCATACATTTCTTAAACCTCTGTCAGAACCATGACAGATTACCTCGTAGACTACTAAGCCATTTTTAAAAGCACCTAGATATAGTCAGCCTAGCATTTTTTATTCAAATGGCATCATATTATACATATAAAGCTGACGGCAAAAATATATTTTTAATTATCAATCATTAAAATACATTCATATTGACAATGCAGAATACATATTCAGTAACATATGAAATATAAATATAAAAAACGTCCTTTCAAATTTTTGTTTGACAGAGCATAGATAGTAGTAATTATCATACATATTTTTCTCGCCACACTAAGTGAGAGTTCCCACGGCTACGTCTGTTAGTATTATCATTTTTTTCAATATACCTCTCTATATTTATAATTTTTGTTATTTTTTATTAGTAAAGGAACCATTAGCTTATGAAGTATAAATAAAATTCATTGAATCTACACAGTTGTAATTTTAATTTAGGACTATATCAGCCTAATCTCGTGATTCTAAAAGAATTAGAAACCGTGTTTGCATGTATCTCGTTTCTTTTATATTTATTATTATTGACTTATTTTACTTACGTACCCCACTGGGGTTGGTAAGGAAAAACAGGTTTACAATTCAACTACCTGTACTCCTTTTACAATTCTTTTGACTTTATCTTACCCTATTTGCTTCTATTGTTAAGTTATTTTATTTTAATTTTTGGTTTCGTAGACCATGTCTAACCTTAACCTATCTTTTGACTGTCACTAATCACAAATTGTTCTTTCTACCTATACTTATACTTATACTTATACTTTACTTATACTTTACTTTACTTTATTTTATATATTTCCACTTTGCTTTACTCGAATCTCGTCTTAACACCGATTACAAAAATTCAGATGTTCAGAAATTGAAAATTCACAAACAAAATTCAAAAATTAAAAAATTGTAAAAATTCCAAATACTTAAGTATTCAAAATTAAATAATTGTAAACTTATAACTAAATTACTGTTAATTATTACAAAATTCCAAACTTATATAACACTTATTTGGACACTTATTAAAATAATCGAAATTTTCTCTCAGTCCATTAAATCCTAACTAAATTTTGTCAACACTCTTTTCATTAGCCTCTGCATGACTGACCACTGCCTTAAGCACCGCTGACTCTACCACTTTTTCCTCACGCACTTAGCCACTTCTTACCACTTCAGACTTAACTTCCACTCTCCTCTGTCATGTATGTCTCTGTGCCCTATAGGACACCTCTTATCACTGGCCCTATATTGTCCTGTTCAGCCTGTTGACACTGCCCTCCTTTCTGTCCTCTCTTCTCGCTCCTTGCTTTCCCTGCTCCTCTCTCTCTGGGCGAGCCTCTTCCGTTTGTCTCTCGGTTATACCTTCGAGCTTTTCTTGTCCACTCCTTGCTTCTTGCTTCTTCACTATCTCCTTGATATCTTTCTCCACATCCCATGCTTAAGTCTCCCAGAATTTCTCTCCCTTCTTGAACCATTCTAACCTTTCTATAATTCCAAACATCTTCTTGTTTATTTCCACTACATCTGTCTCTCTCTTTTTTTCCACCCTCTGCAGCCTTTCCTCGACGATCTTCCTCTCCCTTTCTCTCTCTTTTCCTATGTTAGCATCAAATACTTTGACTAGAAACAGCTCTCTTTCCACCTCTCTCATCCACTCGCCTAGACCACCTTTTTCATCTTTCTCCAGCATCTTCTAGATCTCCTTCTTTCTTTCTCTCTCACAGCTTGCTTGCCCGTTCATTCTTTCTTGTCTACTTTTCTCTCGTTCTGCACACCTGCTTGACCTGTTACTCTGCAGTTCTCTTACCAAGTGCTTTTGCTGGTCGGCTCGAGACTTCTTCCCGCTCTCTTCTCCTTTCTATATAGGTCTGTTCCGCTCTGCTTCTTGCTGTGCCGAATCACTACTCTTTTCTTCACCCCTGTGGTTGGAATCGCCCTCCTTACTTTTCTCGCTGGGCTGAACTTTCTTATCCTGTGTAGTACTCCCTAACGCCTGTCTTCTCCTCCTCTCTATCTCTTTAGGAATCAGAAGGCCTCTTCCCTTCTCATCTAGTGCTTCTTTGACTGTATAGCCAGACTTGTATTTTTCTCAATACTGTACTACGTGCTGTATGGACTCTGCCTCCTTGTCACATAACCTGCATTGATTTTCTCTCTCTCTCTCTCTCTCTCTCTCATCCAGTGCTGTCTGTTTCTTACCTCATTTCCACATCTAAACCTTGTAATCATTATTTTATCTTTTGACTCTAGATGCGACCTTGCATATTCGGGCATGTCTTTTGCTTCCGTTAGTAACTCTTTATAGAATGTATTGTATCTCGACTCCTCTATCTTTTTCCTCCTCTGTGTCTCTTCTTCAGCTTCAAGGTTTCTTTCTACCTGTATGCACAGTTTGCCTTTTCTTCTAAGCTCTTCTACATCTTCGTTGCCTCTCAGAGTCCTCTCCAGCATTTCTCTCCTCAGTTTCACCCAGTATCCTGCTTGCGTGTGTGACCCTACTCTTTGATACATTCTTTTACTAGTTGTTTTTCTGAACTTCTTGCTTTCTCTTCGTACCTTACTGCTCTCACTGTTGGTTTGCCTCTGCAGCTCCTTTGTTTTGTCTCCTCCTGTAATATGTAGTTGGGCGTGTTTCCATCCAACCTTAAAATCCACTTTGCGTATTTCCTTCTGGGCCCCTCCATAGCGTCTTCCTCTTTGTAGCCCCATATCTCTGCTCCAAATATTTCTGTACTCTCTACCAATGCATCATACATCCTGTATCTTCTTCCTGGGTCTTCTCTAAAGATTCTCTCTCCAATGCTTCAGGTATTTTTTATAGCTACCATTGCCTTTTTCTTTCTCTCTCTCAGATGTTTGACTGCCTTGCCATTCTTTTGTAAGACATAGCCTTTAAATTCTCCCACTTCCTCTATCCGTTCATGATTCCACTTTCATATTCTACTTGCTTTTCTCTTGGATTTCTCAAACACCATTATTTTTGTCTTTTCAATGCTTACTGTTAGAGCCTTAATCCTTGTATATATTCAGAACTGCTTCAGCATGTCTCTCATGCTCTCCTCGTCTTCTGCCAGTAGCACTATCATCTGCGTATATTATTGTTCTAACCTTTTTTTACCTATGACTATACCTCCTACTCTTTTGCTTTCTAGAAACTCTTCTAGATCTGCTATATATATATATATATATATATATGTATATGTGTGTATGTATGTATGTGTGTATGTATGTATATTGAGCAGCGTTGGGCTTATTGGGCATCCTTGTCTAACACCCTTTACCGTCCAGAACTCATCTGAGATCTCGTTTCCCACTTTAACTTTGCAGCATGTTTCTTCATATATTTCCAGAACTCTCTTATTTAGCACCTTGTTGTTGCTTAATCTTTCTAGACTTTCTTTTAATTTGCTCCTGCTTAGGCTATCAAACGCTTCTTCTAAGTCTGCAAAGCAGGCGTACATCTTGCCTCCTTTCTTACTTAGTCTCACGTCTGCTGCGTGGTTGAATATGTAAATCGCATCTGTCACTCCTCTTCCTTTCCTAAAGCCAAACTGGCTCTCTTGCAGCTTATGATCTACTTCTTTTATCAACCTGGCATTGAGCAGACCTGCGTATATTTTGTAGGCTGTGTCTAATAGCGTGATCCCTCTGTAGTTTTCTACTCTCTCTTTTTCTCCTTTCTTGAATATCGGGAATATGAGGCCTGTCTTTTATCGTGCCGGCATGTTTCCTTCCTTCCATATGTTTTGTAACAACTCAAAGAAAGCCTCCCCTATTGTCACTGGCATCTTGCTCCACGCCTCATTTTCTGTTTCGTCTTCCCTGGGTGCCTTTCTATTCTTCAAATTTCTTATCGTCTTAATTACTTCTTCGCTCGTAAAAGATTCCTCTGTCACGGGTCCTCCACTTCCTGTTTCTCCCTTATCTACTAGTTTCTCTGTCGTTCTTCTTTCTTTGCCTCTCAACCTTCTGGCAAAGTGTACCTTCCAAGTATTTAAATCGATCTCTCTGCATACCTCCTGTCGCTTTTTTCTGTATTTGTTTATGTACTGCCATGCCTCCTTTTCTGTCTTTATCTGTCTAATCTTGTTCAACTTTTCTGCCTTATATATTTCTTTTTTTTCTGCGCACCAACTCCTATACTATCTCTTTCTTATCCTGTATTCTTCTTAGCTTAGCTCACC